TTGGAGATAATTTCTGAGAGGGGTTGCCCCTTAAATAATATTGAATAAATCCAAAATTTCTACAAAAACAAATACAAACTCTTTGAATTCTATATTCATTTTCAAGGTCAAGTGTTTTAAATGAATTCAACCACAATGGAAACTCGATTTTTTCTTTCTCATTTTCTTCCTTAATCCACCATTTTTCATTTTCATTAACCCATTGTTTTAATAAATTATCTGTCTTGTTGTGGATCATTTTTTAACTTAATTAATCCGTCTTTAACTTGTTTTAAATTTAATCCTCTATATAAATAACTTATAGCAAAACCAATCATCACATCTGGATGACTAAATTCAGAATTTTCTGATGGTAAATCTTTTCCTTTAAATGGTATAGCAATGTCTTTTCTGTTTTGTTCGACAATCCATATTCAACTGTATAATGATAACTCATGACATGATACAGTAGTTCGTGAGATAGTCAAGCTTTTGCAAATAGAAAACTATCTAACATATCTTGACTTTTTGTTTTGAATAATTTAATCATTTTATCGTACTTTAAACACTTTTTCTGTATGAAATCTTCATAATTTCCATAATTTTCACCATTTTCACCGATGATCTTCGTATTTTTTACATTGACTTTTTCCCATAAAGTTTCACAATTCTTTTTAGCAAGAATAGGCTGAATATTCTTATGAAAAAATTCATGTTTAACAAAACGTATAATAGAACTTCCCCCTCCAATTCCACTATTTGGTCTAAAATTTTCGTGATAAGCAACAGAACAATCATCGCGTTTAGAAGCCGCTTTTAGAATAATACAAATTTGTTCATCACAAAATATTAATGTCATTAATAAAAATGGAATTCCTAACGAATTTTTCTACCATCTAAAGATCTAGATGATCCCAAAGTATAATTTAATTCTTTTCCATAACATAAAATTTCATCTGATTCATCAAGAGTATCAAAAAATTTCAATTCATCAATAGAATATAATCAGCGGTATGTTCTACGATTCAATTGGTAACTACGCTTATTTTGCGACACAAACATTTCCCTATATAACGGGATGTTTTGGCCCCAATTATCCCAGTTTTTCCGTGAATTGTTCAACAAATGCACCTTCGTCATATTCAAAGTCAATTTATGCTACTGCTCTATCCCCGTCCAGCAAAACAGTGGTTTCAGATTATACTATCACTTTT